GCTGCTCCATTTTCAATCCAGCTCTCTGTTTATGACCTAGGAAAGCAGTGGAAGTTGACAGAAGTCTTTGGGACTTGAATGCACATGGGAGACCTGGAAGAAGTTCCTGGTTTCTGGCTTTGGATTGGCTCAGCTCTGGTCATCATTGCCACTTGGGAAGTGAACCAACTGGTAGAAGACCTTTCCGCTGTATCTCTCCTTCTCTCCCTGTAAAATCTGCCTTTCAAATAAGTGAAAAATCTTAAAAAGATGTATTGGTTGGCAGAGAGACAGAGGGGGAGAGAGAAAGAAAGAGATGAGAGATCTTTGGTCTTCTGGTTCACTGCTCAGATAGCTACAATGGCTGGGGCTGGGCCAGGCTGAAGACATGACCCAGAACTCCATCCAGGTCTCCCACATGGGTGGCAAGGGCCCAAGCACTTGGGTCATCTTTGGCTGCTTTCCTAGGCACATTAGCAGGAAGCTGTATCAGAAGGGGAGTAGCCGAGACACCATCTGCTGCTCAAGAGGGAAGCCAGCATCACAGGCAGTGGTTTAATCTGATATGCTGCAACATTGGCCCCTGTCCAAGGGGAGTTCTTACCAGAATGAAGCCACTGGGTTTAGGTGTTCATAATGACACATCAGACAATGCACCTGACCTCAGTGAGTCCCCAGTTAAGACAGGAAGATGAGATGGGTAGAAATGTTCAGATAGGGCCCGGTGGTGTGGCCTAGCAGCTAAAGTCCTCGCCTTGAATGCCCCGGGATCCCATATGGGCGCCGGTTCTAATCCCGGCAGCCCCACTTCCCATCCAGCTCCCTGATTGTGGCCTGGGAAAGCACTAGAGGATGGCCCAAAGCTTTGGGACCATGCACCCGCGTGGGAGACCCGGAAGAGGCTCCTGGCTTCGGATCGGCATAGCATTGGCCGTTGCACTCACTTGGGGAGTGAATCATCAGACAGAAGATCTTCCTCTCTGTCTCTCCTCTCTGTATATCTGACTTTCCAATAAATAAATAAAATCTTAAAAAAAAATGTCCAGATAAACACAGAATTTCATTTTAACATTTTAAAATGCTGTTGGCTTACATGTGCTTCCTCTCTTTCTCTCTTACACACACAGACACACACATTTGCCATTCTGGGCTAGGTGAATGCCATCTCTTAGTGGTATGGTGGAAGTAGCCTACTTATGAGAGCTGCTTGGTATATTTTTAGGACTTTTTCTGGCAATTCATTAAACACAGCTACTATCCAACACTACATTGTATAAACTTGAGATGAAGTAGATCATATTAAAGATGAAGGTAACAAGTATTCAAGGCCCTCCTTCCCTAGGCCTTTTATGGCATTTCACTATTATGTGTGCTCCTGAGACCACTGACATCATCTACAGTGTCTGCGGTAGAGACTGCACATGTTGGTCTGTGGTTTCAATTGCCTTCCCGCCTTTGCCTCTGGTGACTCCACAGCTTGAAACCAGCGATTCTGATAGGAGGGCTGATACAGCAAGAATCAGCAAATGTTTTAAAAGAGCGAGTGCCCCCTCTTCACCCTCACCTTCAAGAGCGCTGGTTAATCCTCATCAGCAGATCAACCTTCTCTTGCCTGGAATCTGGCACCAGCCTCTGGACCCCCACTGCACTGTCCAGGGTGTTGTGTACACTAGGCAGGAAGCAGATCAGACTGTCCCAACCCCCTGAAGAAGGGTCCCCATCAGCATCCCATAGCCTCACAGACCTGGTACCTTCCTGCCCACAGATCCCATGCCTGTTCCCTCCCTTTGTCCTTGTGCCCCACACAATGCTGCTGCTCCCTGAACCTGTTGCTAAGTTACCTGCTGTCCCAGAATTTTTGCACCTCTTCCTCGTCTGGCTGAGACAAATCAGCTGCTTCTGCCCAATCATCACCTCCCCAGAGAGGCTTTCTCTGACCATCTTCTTCACATCCCCTGCGCATCCTATTTCCAAGCTTCTATTCTTCCCTGTCTCTTGAGTCTGTTCCCTGCCCTCTTCAAACCACTTGATCACATCTTGGCTGTATCTGACGATCAGTTTGTCTACTGTCTCTTTCCACTAGAATGGGAGCAAGCTCCACATATGAAGACTGTTGTCCAGTCCCTGGGCCAGTGACTGCCCGAGGGGGTTGGTGCTCAGCCAGAGGTTTGTGCTGGATGAATGGGTTTCACCTTCTCTCCAACCCCTCATTCACCCTTCCACAGCCTGGTGGCCACCTTATAGCCCACCCTCTCCCTCCTGGGTGCTGCTCCAAGGTCCCTGTTATAGTCTCTGCTGCCTCGTTCTAACACATGGCCTGGTTTTTATCTGGCTGGATTTCTGGACCACACGTAATACTGCTTCCCATTCCCTATAGCACAACCTGTCTTCCTCCCCCTTTCCCACCTTTTCTTTGTGGACTTGGCAGTATGCTGCACTGTCGGTGTCATATCTCTAGCCCTGGCTGCATTTTCTCTCCTCTTGGATCTGGACCCAACTGGAGGACAGGCTTTGGCCAATGGAATGAGGTAGAAGCAAAACCATTCTGAACTGCCACCAAGAGACTTGTGTATTTCTTCTTGTTCTATTTGATTTCAACCATCACTGCTGGAAGGGTGTTCACTCTCTGCAGCTCACTGATTGCTGGAACAGCCAAGCTAATGCCAGGAGCTAGGAACTTCTTCTGGGTCATCAACATAGATGCAGGGACCCAAGCATTTGGTTAGTCTTTTTTCTGTTTTCCCAGATGTACTAGCAGGGAGTTGGATCAGAAGTGGAACAGCTGGGACATAAACTAGCACCCAAATGGGATGCTGGCACTGTAGGCACTGGCTTAATCTGCTATTCTACCAAGTAGCCATGGGGACTCTCAATTTTAAGTAAAAATGTAGAAAAAAAAAAAAAGAACACATCTATACAGAACATGTGCAGACTTTTTTTCTTGTCAGTTTCCCTCAACATTGTAACAATGGTTTGCCTAGCCTTCATATTGTTTTAGGTATTGTAAGTCATCTAATTTAAATATATGAAAGGATGTGGGTAGGCTATGTGTAAATACCATGCCATTTCATAGAAGGCACTTGAACATATGTGGACTTGGGTGTTTGGCTGAGGGTGGATCTAGACTCAAGTCCCCATGGATCCTGAAGGGCAGGTATTGGAACCAAGTGCCCCTCTGCAAACAGTGCAACAAAGGCATGGACAGGCTCTGGGACAGCTGGTTCTTAACAGGATCTGAGTCACTCTAGGCCACCTACCCAGCTTGGTGGGGTACCTCTGACACACCACAAACACCAATGAATGAATGATGGATGAATTTCCCCGCTAAAACCTAGAGCTCAGAGGGACTGTCCTGGGGGCGTATACCTGTGTCCACAGAAGGTCATGGCTTGTTCAAGGTGAAGGAGGACTAGCTGGTGTCAACTCTCATCCAGACACTGGGATTCTTAACTTTTGCATCAAGCCAGGGCTCACTGCTGGAAAATGCTGGAGCTCAGTGCTAATCCAGGTTCATTCTTGTTGAGTAATCAATACTGTGGTAAGGAACTGCTGAAATAATAACAACAACAACAACAACAACAAAACCAGGATTGAAAGGTTGAAGTTCAACCAATTTTTCTAACAAGTACAATCCCAATGACAAATGGGAGGTGTCAAAGTGAGAAGTGACATTGACTAAGAAATAGATATTAAGCATGAGATTTTGCAGCCACTGGGACCGGGGGATGGCGGGCACCTCATGTAACCAGGAAGCAGCCCTTCTAAATTCAAGAAACGGGTTTGGGCTCAAGTTCAGAGGGTGAGTCTTAAGGGATCTCATATGATCCAAAACCAAGCCTAACACACACACACACACACACACACACACACACACACACACACACACGGAAGGCTAAGATACACTCAGAGATCTTTCCAACACTGGGGCACTCCTCAAATGCCACGACAGCCATGGAGCCCAGCACTCCATCCAGGTCTCCCACGTGAGACAGCAGAGATCCAAGCCATCACCCTCATCGGTTGCTTCAACTGGGGCAGTGACCCAGGAACCCCCAAAATAGGAAGTGGGTGGGGTCCTAGGTGGAGTCTCAAGACACCGGGACCAAATGGCCCTCTGACAAAATAAATGATTTTAAAGCTCAGGAGGATTGGCTAATAACAGAAAATGCTGTTAGGTGGAAACACCAAGGAGACTCAGGGTTCGGGGGGATCTTCTTAAGCCACAACCTCTCAGCAACCCATCACAAGGAATAAGGCTTCCTAAGATGCACTGTGGGCTGGAGCTCCCACAAGAACCCCTAACAAGACTGGACCCTCCCTAAGGGCGCCATGACGTCCCCCTCCATTCCCGGCTTCCTCCATTCAACTGAAGGAAAGTCCTTCTGGTGCCCACAGGAATCTTGCTAAGGTAAGGACTTACCCCTCCTGGGCTGACCCCTGGAAGAACTTGCGTCCTCACAACCCGGGGGACCCATGGGAGGCGCTGCGTTTTCCCCGGCTGCTCGCGGGGTTGAGGACCGCCTCAGCCCCCGCGGCCTTGCTGGGCCGCCGGGATTCGAACATTCCGCGGCCCTCACAGCCACCGCCGGGCCGCCAAGCCAGCGCCGGCCGGCAGGAGGGCCGCGCGGCCCCGGAGGGGCGGGCCCGGCCGGTGACCTCCGCACGGTGGGCGGGGCGTGCCGGCCTCCGCCCCGCCCTGCCCCCCCCCCCCGCGCACAGCCGAGCGCTGCGCCGCGCGGTCCCGCCCCTCGCCGGCCCCGCCCCCTCACCGTGGCTCCCCGCAGCTCCTCCCCTCTTCCATTGGCCGAGGCGGAGACCCTCCTCCTTTGCCCAATGGCCGTCGCCGCGGCTCGACCTCCCGCGTCCCGATTGGTCCGAGTCCAGCAGAGTGGCGGGGAGAGAGCCAATGGGGAGCGGCGGTTCGATGAATGGCTGGCCCGGGTGGGGAAGGCAGGAGGCGGCGATCCCGGCGGAGGGGGGGGGGAGCCGTTCGCCAGCTCTGAGGCAGAAAGTGCCACGACTCCACACGCGCGCACGCAACCAGCGAGCGGCCGGAGCGGACGGCGGACGGGGCGGACGGCGTCGGGGTCGCGGCGCCTACAGCTGTTGGGGGGCGGCTTCTCGGCGGAGGCTTGGTCGGCTCCTCTCTCTCTCTCTCCTCTCTCTCTCCCCTCTCTCTGTCTCTCCCTCACGAATCCGCGGCGGCGGCGGCTCCTGCGCTCTGGTTCTGCCTCCCGCGTCTCCGGCTGCAGGTAAGAAACTTGGCCCGGCCCTGCAGCGGCGGCGGCGGGCGCGCGGGCCCGGCCGTCGGGGCGCCGGGGCCGGCCGCGAGTGACACGTCTCCTTGGCGGCCCCTCCCCCGGCGGCGCCGGCCCGCTCGGCCGCCCGCTGCCCTCCCCGGCCGCCGCCGCCGGCCCCTCGGGCTCGGACTCCGAGGGTGGCGGAGGAAGGCGTGTGCGAGGACCGCGGCTCGTGCAGGGGCGGCGGCCGAGCGCGCCCCGGCCGGGCGGACCTCACGCCTCAGGCCGTCGTGGGGCGGGGAGTGGCGGCGGGGGGGGGGGGGGGGACCTTGGCGATGGCCCCGGCGTGCGACGTGGCGACCCCTCCCTCTCGGCCGGACCGTCGGGCCGGCCCCGCGCGCTCCCCAAGTTGGGCCAAGAAAGTTGGCGGCGGGGCGGGGCGGCGCACAGCTGGCGGAGGAAGGGGTTAAGTTTCGGGAAGCCGCGGGATGACGTTGGCAGGCTGGAGTCCGGGTGGGGGGCGGGCGGAGGCCGGCAGGAGTGTGTGCGTGTGTCTGGGGGGTGAAGGGCGGGATTGAACTGGGGAGAGGGTGTGTGTGTGTGTGTGTGTGTGTGTGTGTGTGTGTGTGTGTGTCGGGGGGGGGTGAAGGGCCGGGTTGAATTGGGGAGAGGGACCCCCGCGGGCCGAGCTCCCCCTGCCTGCGGTCCGCAGCTGGGGATCGCTTCTAGGATTCGGGTGGGCCCCGACGGGGCGGACGGGGGACGCGGGCACGCCGTGCAGGACCTCGGGGCGGAGGTGGGGAGACCGTCCGGGGCGGGAGGCAACTTCCCGGAGTGCGAGAGGCGGCTCCCTGCTCCCCCTGGCGGCGGGGCCGAGAGCGCCGCTTCCTCCGGCGGGGCCGCACGTTGCCCGGCTCCGGGAGGACTTGGGGGGCAGCCCTGGCCCTATCCGGGCCGCCTCGCCCCGCCCCGTCCGCGGCCACGATGAATGGGCCGGCGGTGCCAGGCCCTGGACGGAAGCGGGCACCTCCGGCTCGGCCGGCCAAGCGCACTGGCACCCGGCCTGGTGGCCGCACCGACCTGCCAGGCTTCTAAGCGGGCTGAGCACAGGGCAAGGCAGGGCGCCTGGGGCCCAAGCGCTTCCAATAGGGCTTCCTGGATTATCAGTCACAACTTGTAGTTCCCTCTTCGTGTCCTAACACCGCTGAGCTTGACCTGGGCCAAGTTGTTTGGCTCAGGGTCCCTGTTTCTCCATGTGCAAACGGGGATCTGCTGTTGGATACCAGCGCCCCGAGTGATCCAGAAGTGAGGGCCTGACTGTGGAAGGGAAAGAGGTAGGAGTGGGGTGGGTGCTGATTCCTCCCACTGCCGGATCCTGCATCCTAGATTTCCTTATCTGTATCCTGGGGCCAGTACCACCCACCTAGAACAGGGTCGGGGAGCTGCCTCAGGGAAGTGCCAGGGGCCTTGTGTAAACAAGAGAACAGTTTGGCAATGCTCTGCAGGTCAGAGGTCAGAAGAGACTGGGAAGCACCAAGGAAACGAAACTCAGGAGCTTCCCACATCACTGTTTCTTGCTCAGAGTGCTCCAACCTTCTGGGAGGCGGGGTATGTGTGCAGCTAGCTGGTGTTTTCTGCACCTGGGGCAGGGAGGACTGGAAGGGCCTCACCTCCCAGCTCAGGAATCCTTGCAGAACTAAATCCAGTGTTTTTGGGTTGGAGCATTCCCCTTCCATTCCTGCCTCCCTCCCTGGCTTTTTTGACTCTTTGCTGTGCCTCTCAGCTTGCCATTCACCTGACACCCTGAGAAGTCCCTGACACACTGCGAACCTGCAGGGTGCTGCTGACCATGTGGTGTCTGGCTCGTGAACCTTGCAGAAGACAGCCCCACTGTGGTCTGCCAAGTGGCTTCCCTTCCAGAAGCAGCTTCCGGTCCAGAGGCCCTGGACATGCCACTTCCCCCTGAGCTGAAACATTGGGAGAACGGTGGGGACTGGTAGGTCAGGAGTTCCGTTACTTGCAGCAGGACAAACCTCACACACAGGCTGCCTGGGCTGGGTGGTCCCGGAGGACACCAGGGTGGGGAGCTACAAAGGGGTGCACTGGGGTCTGGAAGCAGAAAGTTTATGGTGGGTAGAGCAGCAGGCCCTGTGTTGTAACAGAATACTGTCTGACCCTGCTCAGAGACTGAGGGGTTGGAGTTGGTACCCTGGCATGAGAATATTTTCTGTTGATGAGAAAGTTTTAAATACATCCCAAATCAAGTCACATTTGAGCAATTATGCTCGCTGCTGAAACGATCCCTAACTCTACAGGCTGCAATAATTATATAGCAGCAAACTCAGAGTAAGGCTGCATGCCAATGATTCAATTGGAATATTGGCTTATTATGTTGCAGGGATACCTTTTAAAGGTGTCAGAATCAAACCCCCACATCATACTTGGTTCTTTATCATCCCTGGAACCTTAATCAGTACATGACACAGGGTACTTTGAAGGCAGGCAGCGGAGTTTTCTTTGCTGAACTCTTGTTTTGGAATAAATCAGCCTGAGTGGTGAAGGCGGAAGGCCTGCTGTCTTTCAGCACTCCCTAAGCCTACAGTGGTTAATGTCGATTCCATGAAGTATGCAATACCTTAGTAATTGACCAGGTATCTCACAGGATAAAGCTGAGGCCAAGCTGGCTTGTAAGATTTGCCACTTAGAGTTTTGTGCGTTTGATATACATTTAGGCCTTCCAACCATCCGATGCTGTGGCTCAAGGGTGATGAGACTCACCGGTTCAGTGGATAAGATCGTGTAGGCCCAGGAGGTCAGGGCAGTGTCAGGCGGGTGCCTGCTGCCCAGCCGCTGGAGAGGTGCTGCTGACCCTGCTGAGTGTAATCCCACCTCCCTGGGGCGGGGCTTACCGCAGGAAGGAGACCAGAAGACCAAAGTGGAGAATGTCTGTGGCAGGAGGCAGGGGCTGGATAGCCAGAAGGTGCTTTTCATTCCAGGGATGAGCCCTAGCTCTTGTCTGAAGATGGATCACACGAAACTGTTGAAGTTAATTTTTGAAACAGTTACACTTGAATAGCATCAGCAATTCTGTTTCTCAAGCACATGAGCCCCATTGTAAGTACTCAGTAGCCTTACCTCGGTCATTGTGAGTTAGTGAGTTCTTGTGGACAGCCCCTGGCTGCAGGTAGCTGATGTGCTCTGCACAGTGGGATCTCTGTTCCATTTCATCGTGAAGAACCTTTTTTTTTGTGGAGAACTTTTTGATGTTGAACCGTGTGAGGCTGGTGGTTCTGTAAGTAAGAAATAGTCCTCTGGTGGCAGTTCACACCCTTCTATCCTGTGCAGTGTTGCCATTGGAGAACATGGGGAGCAGGGGTGAGGCCTAGAGTGGCTGCATCCCACAGAGATATTTAACTACACCAGAAGCATAAGGACGGCCCAGTGTACCAAACGTGGAAATAAATAGGTGTTAGGTAGAAAGCATATGGCCTGCAAGGAAAGTAAATATTTAATATCCATGGGAGAGAACTGGGCAAGGAAGACCACTTGACCCTACAGAAAATTAACTCAGGCTTCCTAGAAGGCTGTTTTCTTAGGCCAACAGATTCTGAATGAACCTCTTGAAAGAGGCAGCCAGACTCCCAGACATATCTTCTGTTGAAAAATGAAACATATCTGATGTTTTCCCTTTAAATGACCTGTTTCCCAGCCATCCGTCTGTCCAACCAGGGGCAGTCGCTGCAATGCAGAGAGAACATGGTGCAGGTGGTAAGTGACTTCATCAGACACAGAGTTCCTGCCTGGTCCTCACTTTGAGGTCCTGGGGTTTTCAGAATGATTTCCGGGGCTCTTACACTCTGGAAAGGATCCCTTGGAGTTTTGGAGGTCCTGGTTGTGCTGGTGGGCATATTTTAGTGCCATGTGTTAAAAGGCACATTGCTAGAGTCTCACCCAAGAACCTCAGGCCCTGGGTAGCTAGTTAAGCTCCCACTGGCCAGAGAGAAGACCCACTGAGGTTGTGCCAGAAGACACCAGTTATTTTTAGTGGCTGGAATATCATTTGCTGACTCAGAAGTTGGATAGGAACACAATCCTGAATGGAAACCTTGAATTCTGTACTCTAACCCCGGGCCAGGTGTAAGCAGGGTAGGTCGGTGTCTGTTGTCTGGAGCCGGGTTCCAAGCCTGCTCCCTGTGCTTAGGCCTGCCTAAGACGTTATGTCTTTAATACTTGAGCCACCTTTTTAGAAAAATGAAGATCTTTTAAAAATGAAAATGTGGATTTGGAGGCTGTCTTGAGGACAGAATTTAAGGCTGCTACATGGTGGATTTTTTGCTTGGTAGCTAAAAACTGGTTGCCTTTGCTGGGCAGAGCTGTGCCAACACCCCTGGTACCCTGCATTTACTGACATGATGTGCTTGTGTTGACAATCCCTCGAGGGTGGAGAGGTTGGGGGCTGGAAGACGTCTGGTTTGACCTGGCTAGTCACCAGCAAGGTCCTGAGAGAGGCTTTGACTGGGGGTCCTGATTCCAGAGGGACATGGCAGGACCTCAGCCTGGCAGTGGCACCTGTGCTTCAGTGTCCTTAGGTAAAATGGAAGGAGACCAGGGGACCCCCACCTTTCAGCCCACACACCTCAGTTCCTCCTCAGTTAATTGATCCCTTGTGCATGGAGCTGGAGGCCAGCCCTTCCCACTGCCTCATGTGCCTCCTGCTTCAGACTCCCTATTCAGTGCTCGCTCCACTGGGCTCTGAAGTGCCTTCCTGGCTCCTGCCCTCACTCCCTGTCCCCAAGGCTGCTGCTGGGCACTCTTCTGTTTAAGACTGCCTTTGGCCAAAGTCCTCTATAGCCTCCACAGCCCTACTTTCTGCTCTGGCTTTTCACGCCTGCCATCTTCCTCATTCTTTGAGCTTCCATCCAGGGAGCCTTTTCCTACAGATGGCCACGTGCCTGGCTCCTGGAGCTTTAGGTCTGTTGACTGTCCAATGAAGTGAAAGCCCCACACACCCC